CTAGGAAGGATTTGAATGTTTAAGATGTAGTCAGAGTCATCTTGGCAGGCACCAGCTCTGTGCTCCAGACTGTAGCCTGCTGGTGGACACCCATCCAGCTTAACTGACTTGGTGAGAGAGGTGACTATCCCTACCTGGGTTCGCTTGCCTTGCCCGTACAGCCAGCAGCAGGGATCAACAAAACGCTCACTTACCTACTTCAGGAGAAGTTAACAGGTTATGAGGACAAAGCCCCTTTGCGTGGGCTGGATCGGGGGCACTTGTGTGATCTCTTTTGCCAGCAGAGCTGTGGAGTCAATTGATGTTTAGCATAAATAGATCCAGAATTCATCTTTCCCCAGCCTCTGTTTGAATGAACATGTTTGTTATTTCCCATGACATATTAGCAAGAGCTCCTTTGGAGGAGTTCTTGCCAAAATCTAGACTCTGTGACCTTTGGCAGAGGGACAACAGCAAACAGCATGAGAATAACCTCCGATAGTGCTGTTTGTGAAGCACACATCTGTCTGCAGCCATAATGCTTCTTGATTCAATTAATATCTGGCAAGTTGACTTTCTCAGGTGGTTGAGGAGTTTTCTGTATAAGTTGTGTGGTCCTTTCTACTGCTTTTTGATTTTTCCAGCATCTCAAATAAATAACTTGGCACGAGTTACTTATCTGTGTTATATGGGGGAGTCTTCTTTACTATGAAATCTGGAGAGCCTACTGAAAATAGCACATGCATGAGTCTGACTCACTAAGAGTGCTTCATGGATCTCACTTCACCCAGAAGAAAAGAAGGCTTGCAGTTTTTTGCTCTGCCAAACTGATGCCTCATATTGCAAGGATAAAGAATAGTTGCTAACAGGAAAAGGGGAGAGGAAGTTTGTGTTAAATCAGGCAGTTATAGAATGCCATTAGATTTTGATATATTTTGTCAAGGAGAAGGTGGTTAGGATGACTTGGGTTACTGGAACAGGAACTTTAAAATAAATAAATAAAATCAAGAGTACATCGTGCCAAAAGTCTAGAAGACATCTTCCAAGTCATCAAATCTCATCTCTGCTATCAATGACAGCTGCATTACACACAATCCTAATCATAAATTTATCAGGCTTCCTCTCAAAACATCTTTCTCAGACTAAAGAAGAACTTAGAGGTGAATAGATTCTTTCTTCTGCTGTTACTCAGGTCAGCTAAAGCCTCATTGCAAAGTGGTGGGTGTATCTCTGCAGTAAGATCTTACTTCATGTAAGTAAAGGTCAAATTACTGTGAATTTTTTAGGTCAGTAGTGACAGGATTGGAATACTGATCTGAAACCAAAAGCACTTAAACTGCTGAAAAAACCCTTCAATAAGCAGATGTTAAAGACAACTAAAACGAATGAGCAGGATAGAAAGACAAAGCAATTGAAAAGTCAGGGTGGCTTCATTCAAAGCTGATCTAAACCTCTTTTTGTCTTATACCTTTTAGCTGTGGGTCATTTCCAATACCATGGTATTTAGATACCTCAGGGAAAGTTTGTGTCTGAGAAACTGGAAGTTTGTGTCCGAGTTTTATATTACTTGAAAGATGCAAGCACAGAATTATTAATTAAAAGAATATATTGAAACGCTTGGCAAAATATCATAGAATACATAAGCCACATCTCAGCCAGTAAAAGAGCAAAGGTTTCTTGGCTAGGAAAATGAAACGAGCTCAAGGGCAAATCTATTGAGCTTATCTCACTGCAGTGCTACTCCTTTTCTTTCAGAAAATGTTGCTGTACAAAGTAATTCTAAAGGTCAGGCTGGTTTAGATGAGACTAATTGAATTAATTCTGAACCACAGCTCTTTCTCTAGAAATTCAACTTTTGAGGAAGGGAAGGAAATAAACATACATAGGCCTTAAATTAATGTATGGATTATTTGTATGCCATATTTATTTACAATATCTATATTCATATATAATATTTCCATAGAGAGGACAGAACTCTGAAAGACCAGGTCAGGACTGGATCCTCTGCTGGTGTGAAAATGCGTAGCCGCTCCATGCAGGGCAGCTGTATCAACAAGCAGCAGCCTGTCGCAGCTTGGCCTTGCTTTCTGAATGATATTTTGCTCTCCTGTCTCCTGTAAAATGCTCCATTAGCTGTCACGGATTTTAGCGTCGCATTTAACTTTCCAAGGACAATGGCACTCAAGGGGGAAATTATAAGGACAATGATTCAGGTTACCATTGCTGCTCGTGGGAAGTCCGTGGCTAAATTTCTGCAAGTCATGCTGAGAGTTTTACCCTGGAAATCATGTTATAAAATCTTCAGTAGTTGAAGTAAGCAATAGCAACTTTCTAGTTTCTAAGGCTTTCTGTACAGGTGGTGAGATACCTGTGTGTCCAAAGATTCATATGCAAGAAAGCAAAGTTGGTCAATTTACTGATCTGTTTTATAAAGAATACCTGAAGTTGTTTTTATTATTTTTATTTATTTATTTTTATGAGGTGGCAGTTGTGTAACATCTCTGTCAAAGGTAGTTAGGAGACTGGAAGAAGCATGAGAAATGTCAATTGACTGAAATGGTGTCATGGCAGCTTTACAGGTCAGGATTTCTTACAGCAAAAGAAAACAGCAGGTGTGATAATATGCCTTGTTTTCTTATGCCTCTTTCTTAAAAAGGCATGCCCTACAAAATACATATAGCTGAAACAATTTAGCACTGGTTTAAAATGTTCTGTAAGAATCCTTGAAAATATTTTTTCTGCCAGCCGGTTCCCAGTTAGCACATTGTTATGATTCCCTGATCCAGTTTCTAGTTTTGTTTGGGTTGAATTTGGTTGGGATTTTGGGGCATTTTGTCTTTAGCAGTGGTCCATGTATGCTGGGAGGCAGACCGTTTTATTTTGCAGTTATTCTGAGAGCAAGTGAAGGGAAGGGTTGGGTAGCCTTGTGGTCTGTGGGTATTTCAGGGGTCTGAAGATGGGCATTAGGTTCCCTGCAGAGCCGCCAGATTCCTTTGTGACTTCAAGCAAGTGCCTTAGTCTGCTTTGCTTAATGGTGCTTCCTTGTCTTACCTCTTGCCTGCTGCCTTCCTCCCTCTCCTCCTTCTCCCTTCTTACTCCCAACCCACAAGCTGTTTAGCACCTTTTAAGTGGTTCAGTAGTCACACTCACTTAGGGGAGATCACTGAAGTGTGAAAGGTAGGAGCTTCCAGAAGCCCTTGCTGGACCAGGACGGCAGACTGCAAACTCCTCATATCCTGGTATTGCTTCCTGTTACATATACTGCTTTGCACTTTGGTCCGAATCTTGTCTCCAGCTGCTTGTATAATATAAATAACTTTCCTACCTGTGCCTTAAATACACAGAACACACTGGAGTACTACCCAAAATGCTGCCTGGAAGAAAACCCATGTTGCAGATTGGTTTATTTTATTTTATTTTTAAGTGTGCTGGAGTTTTATTTTTAAGATGGTTTCAGTTTTAGAGATGTTTCTCAATGGATTCTGGAGTCTCTCCAGCAATCTCGGAGCAGCCCTAGTGAATCGTATATAGAATAATCACACAGAATCACAGAATGTTGGGGATTGGAAGGGACCTCGAAAGATCATCTAGTCCAATCCCCCTGCCAGAGCAGGAACACCTAAATGAGAAGATGGGCAAGAGAAGAGATAACATGGATTCTGGCAGGGAAATGGAGTGTGTGTGTGTGGATAGCATACAAAAATGAGAGGAGGCTTGCCTGAGTCACTGTTAACTCAGAACTCCTGTGTAAAGCCAAAGTTTCTGAAGGTAATGGAAAATTAAAATAAAAATAAATAAATAAAAACCAAAGCCCCGAGGACAGCAGGAAAATAAAGGACTCAAGCTGTGTGCAGGAACGCTGCTCTTGCTGTTCAAAGATAGCCCATGCTGTTTTTAAAACTTTTAGCTACAGTTAAGCTTCAAAGGATGAACCGTGACAAGTGGATCATTATTGCTGAAAACGTCAAAGCATTGAATAACTGACCTTAATATCCCTTCAACAATTAAATTATGAACTATGTTATGCACAGACTGTTTTCACTGCTGATAATTAAACACCAGTGCAATATCCATTTAAAAGCACAGCACTTCCTTGCCGAGTAGTTTAATCCAGACCATGACTATTGACTTCTGTGACAAACACTGTGTGAGTATCTGCAGTGTTTTTATAGCAGCAGTCCCCATTCAACTGGAAGGTAAAACCACACTTCTAATAATTGTTTTTTCTTACTCTGAATTAAGAAGGAGTGTGATTAGATAGGTCATGTGCCACCCAAGAGATGGGATATGGCATTGCTGCTTCTCCTATGATGGCTGTGCTGCTTGCCTTTTTAAAAAAAAAAAAAAGTTTTTGAAGGGGAGAAGAAATGTCACGCTTTATTAATGGAATAGTGTTGTTCTAATGTGCCAAAAATGCTTGAAAGGCCTACACCTCTAAACCTTCTTATGGGAAGGAGAAATACTGTTGTTTTGGATTAGGTTTATTTAAACCTCAGGAGAACAGACTTGCATCCCTTTTCCTTCTTTCAAGAGAAGCTTTGTTTTTCTGTGTTTTGTTTTCCTTGCTCTCCTTCTTTCCACAACAAACTACAGATTTTTAATTCAGAAGCTTCCTTCAGACTAGGAAAAAGCACAATTACAGTTTTTCCTCACTACTGGTGCCAGAAAAATGAAAAATACACAGTACATTGGGACAGCAGGTGGCAGGTTGGCACCATTAGCAAGTGCCATGTATTGGAATCAAACATCTGAAAACCTGACTTTGTCCCAGTATAGATAAAACGAGATATTACATCCTTCTCCGGTTATCCTCTGGAAACATGAAGTACATAGCACCTCCAAATGCAAAGGATTTTTACCTCATTCTTGCATGCCACCTTTCCTGCTAAGACTTCTAAGTGTTTTTTGGCTTTAGTTTTCTTTGTTTTGGTGAATACCGGTTTTGCCTCCTTTCCTGAGAACTGCTATTGCTTTGTCTTCCCCATTCATATTCTTTTTTCTTTCTTTTTTGCTGCATGGAGACTCTCTGCTGTACAAGTGTAAGTATTTTTTTAGCTCTGCTGTTTCTGGCCTACTTGTTTACGTTTTTGTGCTCCATTTGCCTCTGTACTGCCTTGTGAGTCTCCTGGGAGACTGTAGTGCCATCCATCTGCACCTACAAATGAAACAGGCAG